AAATCGATAAAATGCAAAATAAAAGGATCTAACTCGGTGAATGGAGGTCGTGTTCTGATGAATTGAGGCACTATTTCTTTAGTATTCGTATAGCGTTATCATATAGTATTTAAGGCCTTTGAAGTTGAGTGGTAAGTTTTTCAGCTACCAAATTTTTCCAAATCAAAAACATTTGTCTTTGTGGATGACCTACCTCCGGCTCTTTTTAAAGATGGTGGTGACTTTTTGGTTGAGGAACTGACTACGTTTTTAATAAGGATTGGGAGCTGAAGAGTGTTTAAACATTATGGAACGAGTCGATAGTTGTTCATATATTAAAAAGGTTCACGTCGTTTCTGTAACAACTATCGGGGGATAAGTCTACTTCCAATAGCGTCTGTCATACTTCGTAGACTGTTCAAAACCCGTGAAAGATTGACCCGCGAGTTGCAGGCTGGTTTAGTTCTGGTCGAAGAAGTATTGATCCGCCGAATGTTAGAACACCGTCGAGCTTATCTCAGGTCAACAATCGTATTGTTTCTCGACATTAGGGCCACCTTCGATTCACTGAACAGGACTGTTCTCTGGGATTTTCTGTTGAAGAAAGATATTGAGAATTTTATTTGCATTTTGAATGCCCTATATACAAACACCTCGAGCAGTAGGGTTAGGTACGGTTGCTTAATCTGACCATTCCTCTTCAACTTTGCCTTAGATATCGTTCTGGAAACAGCTCTAAAGAATGTGGGTAATAGTGGTGTGGATATGTTGCCTGGAGAAAAACTTTTCGACTATGAAAATAATATTTTCTTACAATGCGATAATTCCATGCAATCCGCACTTAATCAGTGTCCATAGGCACGGTATGTGCTTTGCACTTATAGGGTGCAAAGCACATACTGGGTTCGAGTCCCAGAGTGAACATCAACCCTGAGATGCACGTACATCCAGCTTTTATCATAACCAGCTAAGTTTGTATTTATTGCCATTATCAATCGATGAATCGATTTTAGTCCGTGTAAAATATATTGACAAAGCATTGAAATCTTTTAGAAGTATTCTCGTCAGTTTCAATAGTAGACAGTTTGATTAAGAAGCAGAGATGGATAGTGGCTAGCAGTGGAATCCAAGACGCAAGTTTCGTCCCATTTGGGACTCGTCAGCTGGATGTACCTGCCAATTAGAGACTGACCAGTTGCAGTCCTAAACATCAATGGAAAGATTCAAACAAACAATACTAAACGAGTTTGATTAAGAGTTAATTCTTATTCAAAGAAATGAAATTACATAGACAGTCTGGTTTTCTAAATGATTCATTAATCTGTATATACTTGTAAATGTTATAGTAATTTTAATATTTAAGATCATGAGTCAATTGGAGGTCCTGGGTTTGAATTTCCCGAGGTGGGATCGTGAATGAGCACTGTTGAGGAGTCCTAAAATTGGACGAAACATCCGTCCAGCGCTTTCCATGGTGATCTAGCTTCGATTGACTCATGATCTCAACTATTAAAATATTCTATATGTGTTTTGATTTGATTTAGATTCCATTTCTTCCCTAATAATAAAAAAAAGTAATATTTAATGATGTGCTTCTATTTAATCTTCTCTTTATTGTTTTTATTTACTAATTTTTATTAATGTCATGATATAGTAGTTGTGTAATGCACGAGAACACAAGTGGGAACAACCAAATGTATTTGGATACAAGATTACAGAACGTCTTAGTAAAATCTGAGAATCATACAGTAAATATTTCATTTGCAAAATGTCAAACAATTGTCTGAAACTTCTTTGTTTCCACACCAGTCATTCTCTTTTCTTCGACCTTCTGCCTCCAGGCATTCCATTTTCGATTGATGATATATACTACTTATATCTGTCAACATCAGTAGCACACATCACAGTTGTACTGGAAAAACGTCATGTCATTTTTACGATACACTTTAAACTTTCAATTTACTAGTTAATAATGAATTCCTTTAACCATTAAACCAGTTCGTCAGCTACAACGTACGACATATATGCAACGGTCCAAGTCTCCACAACTCATTGGTTCAACAATAGGAACATCAAATTCATAGTTGTTACTTCAGTGGTAGTAATTTATAGAAAATTGCACATTAACATATAATAAAAGGAGAAAGAAAGATATAAATCCATTTTAATCTCACCGTTTAAGTGAAGACAAAGAGTGTACACACCTACACCATTGTGATCGGTTCTGAGTCATGTCATCAAGATTCTCCAACCATTGGTTACGTATTTATGCAGACCCCAACCAAGTTGTCTGCATCTACCAACATGGCTCAAGATTAGGATTTACGGCTGTACATTTGGGTTAAGAGTTAGATTCAGGGTTTTTATCACGAACTGGCATAATCTATAATGCCAAAATACTACTTAGTAAATGAATGGATGAATTTCGCGCCAAAATCCAATACCTGCTATTTTAAATCTGATTGACTTGTCTATAAACTATAGTCTCGCCAGAAGCGTATGTATGACTGACACCTGCTGCATATAACATTAAAGAGTATCTTGGGTCTACTATCGATGGTTTCACTTACCACGGAGTTCATGTACAGATTATCTGAGGCATGTCATTAGCGGAGTTCTTTGCATTGGTCAGTTTTATAGTGTTTCCTCATTAATCTCTAAAACTTCTGTACTGGGAATTCGGAAACCAATGAATTTTGTGAAGGATTGCTTCAGATGTTGGTTATTTCAGAATACATCTAATTGGCATCATATCTCAATATGATTCCAAAAAAATTTCTTCCTCGGGCCTTACTGTTGACTATCTTTATCTCACTCTCCAAATGATCTATTTATTTGCCCGAGGTGTACTCTAGTGATCGTATTGTTATAAAGAAGGTAGTCGTTTGATGGCTTAGCAACCTGATAACTTTAAATCTTACCGAGTCGTATAATAGTAGAAGAGATTTCATGCTCTGTGGCTGCAAAGAATTCATATCTAGGAAAAACATCACTCTTCTATATACGTTTTAAGTTATTTAAAATAATAATGGTTTTAGTCATTGGTTAAACAAACTAATTATTCTGACTGTGTAGCAGGAAAAATCAAAACCTAGAATAGGAGATATTCCATCCCACTAACTGACCAAAAGTGTTGATTTATACTTCAGTCACTTTCTTTAACAAATGTGTTTAGATTCTTGGCATTCTACTTTACAGATAATGTGAAGTATGACGGATAATACATTGTAGTGTTGACAGGGTTGGATTCCATGCTGGTTTAAATAGATTTACTTGAGATCATAAGATTTGTGTTTGAATTGAAAGACCGCAACTCATGCAAACCAATCACATAACACGCCTCTGTTAAGCAGTCGATGAGATACATGTGTTACAAACTATGACAGCATAATGCACTGCAGCTGTTGGCGGAGGCTTTATGTATGCTACGACAACCGTAGTCTCTAAATGCTTGAAAACAAGATTTTGTACCCCATTGAGAGCTCATTTAAGGCAGGGTTTATTAAAGATGCTGAGTCAAACAGAACACATTGCCATCAAGCATCGTTAAAGAGGCTCTATAGAAGGCTATCACTCATTCTGGAGCACATGTTTAGACTCGAATCATGCTCTTGTTCGAGCACGTACTTGACTGAGCTTTACTGGATGTTGAAAAGCCTCGACAAGAAAAACCCATTAGAATTGAAAGTTAAGAATACACATACACACTTCCGCCTACGCAGACGGGTGATGTGTGGTATAGGAGTAGGCTTCAAGAAAGCTAGGGACGGTCAAACCAAAACATGGCACCAGTTCATAAAGACACTGAAGATTGGAGTTATCCATGTTAATAGGTACATATTATCCGGTTGGTTATAGACTTTGAATGAAATTGTGTGCAATGGCTCAGTTGCATCTATTTTTCGTTTCACCCTCCAAATTTTGAGCTTTTGAATTAGTCATATTTTTACGTTTTTATTTTACTGAGTTATACTTTCTTTTCTAATCGTATGGTCGATGATTAGTATTTCCTATTACCACTGACACTGTTACTACTTCCACTATTCTGGAACTTGGCCAGATAACTTTATCTCTCTATGCTAATGGAGTATGGTAACTTGGACTGATGTACATACGTACCATGTTCTAGACTGTGACTGACTGAACCAAGCTGAGTAAGTAATAAGTTAGTATTTGAAGTTTTCTACCTCTTCCATCTAGAGTGATTAAAGCACATAGATCGTTTTCCTTTAGCTTATAGTAGTATAAGATTTATTCCTGTACTAACATTTCTCATCTTGAATGGTGAATTCATTGTTTCTTCCTTTATAACTAATCGTTTCTGATTCCGTAACAAAAGTGCAAAAAATCATTGATTAAACATTAAGATTCTTCGTTTTCTATTGACTAAAAAGTTCATATTAGTTGAAATCTATAAACTCTTACAAATATCTTCATAGAAATGCTTTGTTTAAAAGAATAACACAAGTTGATCAATCTACTAATGATTAAGAAAAGTCGAGTAGTTTGCAAATGCCCTGGTATGGCTGAGAATGGGAAGAGTATGCTCTCCCTCTCTAAATGCTCTAACAAGGCCACGAGTATATAGCATCTGTCAGGGAAGTTCTATTCACTGCCTTCTCACTGTATTACTGTTGTTTGCGAAATTGAGAGGATGAAAAGCGAATGTCTAGAGCTTTAATCGGTTCGGTGGACACGGAAAGTCCACCTAGGGGAGTTGGAAAACCGTCATTCCAAACCAATGGTGTACATGGGCTCCAATATCCTGAGGGAACAAATGGCGTATGAAGCTATTGTTAGTCATCGGCTACCATAGTACTGCATCTCCTCACGATGCTCTACTACCTTGTGGACCAGATCTTTAGGTCAAAGGCTCCGAGTGTGGCCCCCTAAGAAAACCACCTGCTTCAGTTTGGGCACCTGGGCAGCATCACAGCCCTGACACAATTGTGTGGCAGATATATATCTGGTGCCCCTTTGTACCAATATTTATATGTTTAAATAAGTAAACAATCAAATAATCATAGAAATAAAATGTAATAGTAACTGTTGACTATTCATTGAAATGAATATTCTTTAGCAAGACATATGATTATCAAAGAAAATAAAAAACAATAATAATAGTTCATTATGTAAACTTTAAAACAAACTAAAGAAAATAACGAAAAGGGATTCCGAACTAAATGAATTTCCGAAGGTGACAAAGTTCTATTCATGGTACTTCAGAAATTCAGTTCATGATTTTTGTTTTTTAACCTCTTGAACGTTTCAATGTACGAACTGATCTTGAAGTACCATGACCTGTTGATAATTTCTCCTGTTGTTTATTATAACTTGTATCATTTCTAATACCAATTTCTTTATCATTAAACCATTCACCAACTAATTTACATTGTTTAGGTCTTTTCATTGTATTACTTCTATTTAATGTCATATCATTTATCCATATACTCCATGGTACTATAATTTGTTTTGGTGGTATAATTAATTTTGGTTCATCTCTTATATTATTTGGATACCATATTAATGATTGTGCTGCATTACAATGTGGTGGACTTAATGCAGATAATGGTAACTTTTTATTATCATCTTCTAATATGATTGGTTGTTCTTGTTGGATATCATCAATATGTTTTAAACGTTTACCAATTGGTTGATATGGATCAAATGTTATATGTAATGTATAATACCAACGTATAGTATTTAAAATATACACCTCATCTTGTTCAACATTGAATAGTTGATAATTTAAAGAATTGAACTTTGAATGTTTAGAATGTTTTATGGCAATTAACCATACCCAAAATGTTTGTTTTCTTATAATATCAGTTAATTGTATACCACCATAATATGGTAATTCCCATGCTACAGTTGGATAAAAATGATCATCATATGTTAATGTAATGATCTGATCTTTTACAATTCCTTGATCTAGATCATATTTACTATTTATAAGATTATAAAATGGATATTGTATACCATCACTATCATTAACCATTTTATGTCGTCCACTTTTTAATGGATGAAATTCCCAGAATGTACTACCATAATTACCATAACAATTTTCTAAATATAATTGATCACATGCTTGTACTAAACCAATACTCCAATATTCTTTAGCTATACATTCATTTATAGATAATTCAACTTGACAATGAAAATTTTGACTTTTATATTTTAATAAATTTGTCATTTCTATAATTTCAGTAGTAGTTTTAGTATCATAATATGCATGAATAGATAAAACATTAATATGATCTAATGATAAGTTGGACATAGTTAGAATAGTTAAGATAGATGGATGGATACTTTTTTAAATCCTTTATGATGTTGATAGATAATAAGTAGTATATTATCATCAATTGAAAGGGAAACAACTCCTGGAGGCAGAAGATCGAAGATGAACTTTGAGACAATGGTTAGGTGGATAGTTCTTTAGATCTTCAATGATGAAGAGTTCTTCTTCTTGTTGTTGTTACTCATTCATTCATTCAATCCATCCATAGTTAGTTTAAAAAGTTATTGAATAACAACAATGAAAGAAATCAATATTACTATCTTATTTAAATATAATAGCTAATCACTTTAATTGATGACTTAAATAAGAAGTTAATTGATTAGAAAGAAGTAGTTTTCATGCTTAAACACTGATTATCACGACAGACAATCAGTCAGTCAGCTACAACGTAGAACCAGGCACATTTATGCAACGGTCCAAGTTGCCATACCTCGTTAGCACAACAAGATGAATACCGGATTCATGGAAGTAGTTAATTTAGTGGTTGTATATAAGGATATAGTATAGGAAGGAAGAAAGTTATGAAGCAATTTTAATCTCAAGGTTTAAGGGAAGATAAAAAGTGTATACACCTACGTCATTGTGATCGATTCTGAGCCATGTCACCTAGAGTCTCTAACCATTGATTGCGATAGTCACACGGATCCCAACCAAGTAGTCTGCATCTACCAACATGGCTCAGACTAGAAGTAAGTGAATTTAAGCTCTGATGCCATGTTTTGGTTTGGCCGCCCCTAACTCTTTTCCAACCATCCCCAATACTAGTCAGCATTACGCGTCGTGGTAATCGGTGTTCAGGCATACGTAACACCTGGCCCAACCATCTCAGTTGATGAAGATTTACAACCCCATCAACTGATTTACCATCGTTCCCTAATACCCTGCGTCGAACCTCACTATTACTTACCCGGTGATCCCAGCAGATGCGAGCAATATTTCTAAGGCATCTGTGGTCAAATACTAGTGACCTACGAGTATCTTCTACTCTTAATGGCCACGTTTCACAGCCGTAAAGTAGAACAAACAATACTGACTAGTGTTGAAAATCGGTGGAATAAAGTTAGGGCGCGATAATTTATGGAAGACCTTTATACGACGTTTCACTAACCTTCATAATGTCCATTTAGAGGATTATAAACTAGTATGAGGAATCAGGATTAGAATTTACGGCTGTACATTCGGGTTAAGAGTTAGATTCAGGGTTTTTATCACGAACTGACATCATCTATAATGCCAAAATACTACTTAGTAAATGAATGGATGAATTTCTCGCCAAAACCTAATACCTGTCATTTTAAATCTGATTGACTCGTCTATAAATTATAGTCTAAACACACTCCCAACACTCTAACCCACTAAGTCCATCGGTTCAAATTCCTACACCATATCAGCTCAGAGACAAAATTATCAACACGAATGTCAGAGAAGTAGAAGTACTAGCACTGTCATCAGTAGTAAGAAAAACTAGGCATAGATGTTATGATTAGTGAGAGAATGAATTCGCGCCACATAAATTACAAGTATTTTAAGGCAGTGGATACATCTATTCCATTGTGACCTATTCTAAACCATATCTGAATTCTCAAGTCACACACATTGCGCGGACCAAAACCAAACAGTGTGCACCTACCTAGACGGCTCGGTTCAACAATAAGCGACTTTGGGGAACCGATTCCTAGTCATTAATTGACCGCGCCTAGCATTTTTCCAACATACTTCTATTGCAGTAAATATAACAAGTCATCATACGTAGAAAATGATCTGTCCACTTAAGTAGATAGAAATTCACAACCTCACCAGCCGACTTCCCATCTTTACATTGTACCTTAAGTCTAACCTTAACATTGCTCACTTGGTGGACCAAACATATGCGAGATATTTTTCGAAGACGTCTATGATCGAATACTAGTAACTTACGAATACCTAGTATTTTTGGAAGTCACATTTCACAGTCATAAAATGAGACAGTAGACCAACACTTTTATTTACAAACAGACAACTGGCCTATGTCACAAATAACAAATATTGGTAAAAGCCAACAGAGATTTCCGAATCCATATTGAGATTCCATCAGAAACTAACACACCAGGGCTGATGGGACTTACAAGATGAGTGAAGTGGTCAACACGCTTAACTACTACGTTCACTATCATTGATCTAAGCGTTGACGTAAAACAGTTATAAATCAACATTTCGTATTTAAATGGAGATAATTAATCGTATGATTACATGTATTAGGCTATTGTATATTACTTAAGCCGCAAAAACAATTAACTCTTTGGGTCAACTATAAAGATTGAAACAGATAGAGAAGCAAAGATGGATAGTGGCTAGCAGTAGAATCCAGGACGCGCGTTTCGGCCTACTTGGGACTCGTCAGCTGGACGTACCTGCATCTCAGAGTTGACGTTCACTCTGGGACTCGAACTCAGTATCGTTCATTTCAAACGCCATCATATTATCTACTTAGCTACTAAGTCCTGATAGCCACCTGCTTGTGCAATGGGGTGAAATTTAAATTCACATGGTATTGTTTACTTTTATCTTCCCATTGTTATTTAAGACTGTAATTGATCAGTCTCTTGTTGACATATGTTCATCCTGTGTTTATAAAGCTTATGACTTCAGGCAATATCGAGGCAGTCCACACAGGATATACATATTCCAATAAGAGACTGATCAATTGCAGTCCTAAATAACAATGGAAAGATAAAAGTAAACAATACCCTGAGAAGATAGAGAAGAATTTGAAACTTCTATAACTTAAAAGTTTATAGGCGTTATGTCCCGATAACAATATTGAATGGTAACTTTGGGATCTATTTATGAACCAATATTATGCATATATTTTTTATCGTATAATCGCTAAATAAGTAGAGTATTCATATTCGTGTTTCCCTTATCATGAGCTTTATTTTGAATTATAAACTATTATTATATGATTTACCGTTCTTGAGTTATCCTTAGTCTATTAATTACTGCCTCCCACATTCACAGCCACATTTGGCTGAATCTTGTACACATTTTATTTTCTATTTTAAGGTACGATGTGGTCAGTTTGATTGGTATGTAAACTCAGTATGTTTGAAATATAATGATTCATACCACAGAGGCTGTCCTGGACTTAACTGGCTGGGCTAGGCAGAAAGCAGGACCGATACGTACTCTGGACTGCTTGTATGGTTCCCATGTGTCACTGTTCCAATCGATAACTTGCTGCTCTCTAATTGGCGGTCTTACCACGTTATACATTAACAGGGCACCCACTCGGTCACAAGTCATAACAATTGGCGACGAATGAACTACAACTATGAATGGAACATAAATAGTTTTTTGAAATATTTAATAATATTTACAGGCATATAGTATGGTTATTTATGCACAAAATTATATTATCAATGTTATTTTCATCTAAGGAAATACGATAAACATGTTTCATTAAACAATGATGATAGTAACTTCATCATAATCTAATTATTACATGAAATTCATGTTGTACAAAAAAGAGTCAGTCAGTCAGTTACAACATAGAACTTCGTACGTACGTACATCAGTTCGAGTTGACATACCACACTAGCACAGAGATGCAGTTGTTCATTCGAATCCCATAATGGTAGAAGTAGTAAGAGTTTAAGCAGTAATGTGAAAGATTAGGGTTCGAAGAAGTTATTCAAGGGATATAATCCAGTGAAATAAATTTGAAAAGAGAAAAAAGATAGAGACATGAAGAATTTGGCAGAACACAAAGAGTGGATGCACCTTCGCCATTGCAAACGATTTTGAACCATGTCATTCATGGTCTCTACCCATCGATTGCTATCATCTCGCGAATCCCAACCAGGTAGTCTACACCTACCAACATGACTCAGTCCACTTGTCAGTGACTTCACGGATTTGTGCTACGTTTTGGTTTGGCCACCCATAGATTTCTTCAGAACCTACTCCTACACCTTAAAACATTGCACGTCGGGGCAGTCAGTGGTTTGACATACGTAACACATGTCCCAGCCATCTCAACTGATGAAGTTTCACTACTTCATGTACAAAAAGAAGAGAGTAAATTCTAACAACAACAACAACAACAACAACACAAAGAAATTCATAATGAAAATGATTTTTTTTACTAATCTGATGAAAATATTCTACAAGATACATCTTTAAGTAACCAATTTATACCATCTAATAAATTCTCTCCAGTAACTGCACTACAACCAAGTATTAACCAATGATGTGTTGTTATCTCATCTAAATTTAATAATTCACGGATTTGTGATGCTTTCAATGATGAAGATAAATCCTAAAATATGAAATAAAAAAAATTTGTTTTTGATTAATAATGACAAGTTGAAATGATATATGGATTGAAGAATCTGGATGATATGAAAACGTATGAACATTGATTCTCATAGGTAGTCCTGCAGTACCACCTCAAGGCAGAGTGCACACTCATATACTTACTAAATGAGATGCCCCCAAATGCCCTGGTACGGCCGAGAGTGGGGAGAGTCTACTCTCCCTCTCCAAATGCTCTCACATGGCCACGCGAATATATAGCCTCTGACAGGGAAGTCCTACTCACTGACTTCTCGTGCCACATGTTTTGTTTACGAAATTGAGAGGACGAAAAGTGAATGTCCGGCGCCTTAACCGGGTTGGTGGACACGAAAACTTCACCTAGGTACAAGGAAGCACTAGATACATGTGCGCCATACAAAACTAATTCCATTTGGTTGAGGGCTGTGATACTGCCCAGGTGCCCGAACTGAAGCAGGTGGTTTTCTTAGGGGGCCACACCCGGAGCGTTGGACCGAAAGATCTAATCCACAAGGCAGTGGAACATCGTGAAGAAATGCAGTCCCATGGTAGCCGATGACTAACAATAGCTTCATACGCCATTTGTTCCTTCAGGATACTGGAGTCCATGTACACCATTGGTTTGGAATCAGGGTTTTCCAACTCCCCTAGGTGAACTCGCCTTGTCCACCAACCCGGTTAAAGCACCGGACATTCGCTTTTCGTCCTCTCAATTTCGTAAACAACACCCCCGCCACGAGAAGGCAGTGAGTAGGACTTCCCTGTCAGAGGCTATATATTCGCGTGGCCATGTGAGAGCATTTGGAGAGGGAGAGCGGACTCTCCCCACTCTCGGCCGTGGGGGAGTTAGAAAACTCTCATTCCAAACCAATGGTGCACATGGACTCCAGTATCCTGAAGGAACAAATGGCGTATGAATCAATTGTTGGTCACCGACTACCATGAGACTGCATCTCCTCACGATGCTTTATTGTCTTGTGGATCAGACCTTTATGTCAAAGGCTTCGAGTGTGCTCCCCTAAGAAAAACACTTGCTTCGGTCTGGGCACCTGGGTAGTATCACAGCCCCCACACAAATCAAATGAGATTTGTGCGGTGCATATATATCTGGTGCCCCTTTGTACCAATATTTATGTGTTTAAATAAATAAATAAATAAGTTAAATGAGATACATAATACAACTCATATACAAACTAGTATGCAAGTATTTATAAAATACCATAAGGTTAATAAAAAGAAAATCAGCATTAATCAGTACTTTGAGAAGCACTCGGCACTAGACTGTTTGCAGTTAATCTTTAACATTATACTTCAGTGTGTTTTGTAATTCAATTCTGAGACGGCGTTTATTTAAGAGCCACATACATATAAATGGATTTATCTTTGTATTTATGACATAACAATAGAAATCTAGTCTTTCCGATGATTTGATGGTTATTACTCTTTGACATGTGGGCGAGACTAAACTATATGGACGACATTTGAACGAATTTTAAATGACCTTGAGAAATATTAGCCAATCAGAAGACAGTTAGTACACAGTAAAAATAGATTATACGAAACTCAAAAATTAAAGGGGATACTGTCTTTTTAAATGACTCAAAAACTTATCAAGGTTAGATATAGGTTCAGAAGTTCTAAAATCATAGTGCATACGGTACAGGAACTCATCCATTTAGCTCCATAGTAGTCGACCTCTGGAACCATGATAAGGTCTCAAAAATTCTTTTAGCCTCGACCACATAGCTTCAATGCTGTTGTTATATTGGTATGGTTTAGGGTTAGAGTTAAGGTTTAGGGTTAAGGATGAGACTATAAATTATGGACGACCTTTGAGCGACGCTAGAGTGACTCTGAGTGTCAACATAATTACTAAGACTAAATGAGGGTTATAAACCTGTGTGAAGAATTCAAATTATGATTTACAGCTCATGGTTAAGGTTAGGAATTGTACTTAGGGTTTTCATCACGAACTGACATCAGCTATAATGCCAAAACTCTATTTATACAAATGGATAATTGAATTTCGCTCCAAAATCTTATGATTACTTCTCTTGTAGACGCTGAATTATCACGCCTTCTCTAAAATCCGTTGTAAACCGACCGTACGTAAGCACCAGGTACCGAACTTAGCGCCGTGACCTTGAAAACCCGCGAAAGCTTCTGATTGGCTCGTCCATATAGTTTAGTCTCGCCGACATGTGATAACTCATAGATACGATTTACTGTTAATGAGTCAATGGAGAAATAAAAGTTGTACCCCTTATTGTTTACAGTACGTTGTCATATCTCAGTACAACAAGATGAACACCGGATTCATAGTAGTTAATGTAGTGGTGGTAGTATACAAAAGAAAGGTTGTATATAAGGATATAGTATAGGAAGGAAGAACGTTATGAAGCAATTTCAATCTCAAGGTTTAAGGGAAGATAAGGAGTGTATACAACTACGCCATTGTGATCGATTCTGAGCCATGTCACCTAGAGTCTCCAACGATTGGTGAAAATAGTCACGCGGACCCCAAACAAGTAGTATGTGTTAGTTTTATTTCCGTTATTCAGCTACTCTGAAGAAGTGACTTGCATTAAGTCATGAAACGTCAGAAATACAATTTTCTACTTGTTGGGATATCACAAAAATATATTTATTATTAGGATATCTAGTTAGCTATAATGATTATGCAAAGCGTTTCTTAACTCAATTGAAAAGTTTATGAAATATAGAATTAGTTTAAGTAACCAATTAAAAATAACTCCGCCTGTAGCTCCTCCGGGGGCTACTGCCGGTCCAAAGCCCAGGTAAAGGAGGAGGGTTGGACATGGGGTTAGCGACCCCAACCCGAAGAAAACCAACTCGCTAAAAAAACGCTAACCAGGAAAGAAAAAAATTATTCAAATCATTTAAACCAATCGGAAATACAGTTACTGATCTTACTTGTTTGTTAGCGAAAACAAGTAAAGTAGCACCGGCCAATCGCTCTTCAACTAGTAGTTTAGACAATTCTATCCGACAATCTTCTAGACGAAGGCGATCTGAGCTGTCCACTACCCAGATTAATGCGTCAGTAGTTTCGAAATAATTTCGCCAATATGATCGCAAAGACTTTTGTCCACCGACATCCCATATATTCAATTTGAAACTAAAAATATGTACTTAGAATGATGTTGATAATTTGATTGAATACCCCATATGTTCTAGTGTTTGAATACTAAAACCTAGTGTTGGAGATATACTGTTTATGTCTTCACCATTAAATTTCTTTACGATGGTTGTTTTGCCAGCATTGTCTAATCCTCTATAATAACATAACAGAATATAGAATACGTAAACCAGTTATGGAAGAACGTTACCAAATGCATACCAACAATAAGAATGGTCTTTCTAAATATTCCAAGTAAGAAAAAACTATTGTAAAGGGTCTAGTTGTTTTTTCAATCAGTCAGCCCTCAAATGCCCTGGCACATCCGAAAGTGAGGAGGACCCGCCCTCTCTTTCGAAATGCCCTAACAGAGTCACGCGTATACAGCCTCCGACAGGGAAGTCCTACTCACTAACTTCTCGTGGCATCACTGTTGTTTATGAAATTGGGAGGACGAAAAGAGAAACTCCGGCGCCTTAACCGGGTTGGTGGACACAGAGGGTCCATTTAGGGGAGTTAGAAAACCCTCAATCCAAACCAATGATGCACATGGACTCCAGTATCCTGAGGGAGCAAATGACGTATGAATCAATTGTTGATCAGCGGTTACCATGGGACTGCATTTCCTTACGATGCTCCACTGCCTTGTGGATTATAACTTTAGGTCAAAGGCTCCGAGTGTGCTCCCCTAAGAAAAACATCTGCTTCGGTCTGGGCACCTGGGTAGTATCATAGCCCTCACACAATTGTGTGGCAAATATATATCTGGTGCCCCCTTGTACCAATATTTGTATCCAAATAAATAAATAAATAAAGTTGTCACACCACATTAGCACAGTGAGATGAAATCGCTTCGAGATAAATCATACAATAGAAAAAGTGGTAACAGTCTCAAGGGTGGCAGAAAAGAGTAGATATAGAGAACAAGAAGTGATGTAAGTACATTTCGTAAAAAAATAATGAGTGCAACTCCTCCGTGGCGAACCATCCTGAACTTCAAAGTTTCTATTTATTGGTAACGATTATCAGGCAGACCCAAAACAGGTAGTTTACACCTATTAACAAAGCTTGGTCCAATTGGTAATGACTCTGTAGACTGGTGCTAAATCTTGGTTTGGTCGTCCCTAGCTTTCTTTCAACTTGCTTTTTAGCCGCAGAATGGTAAATTATGACAAATCTAATCTACTTTGTTTAATAATAACCATCCTCGACATGCGATGATCGTTGGCGTATGAGTAGATCAGAAAATAACTAAAGGCGGCCACATCAAAATCTGGAATTGATCCATGAAGCCATTGGCAATTCAACTGAAGTATTTAGATAGGTGCATACTATCTGGTCGGTCCGTGAAGCTTTCCCAACCAATGGTTAGAGACTTGGCAAAATGGCTCAGAATTGTTAACCACAGTACATAGGCATTCACTTTTGGTTTTCCCTTTAACCTTAAGTCTCTAATTTACTTAATCAATTATTTTCATTCCAATAATTCATCTCCTTTCTCAAATCATATTTTCTATACCTAATCTTTCTTATCACAACCAATACTGTTATTATCTGTACTACACTTAAAATTTCTCAACCATCTCACTTCAGTGTTCTGGTGTTTTGGCAACTTGAGCCTGCGCACATGTTCCAGCTGCGTTGCGTATGGGACTGAGTGGGTCAATCCCATCAAATATCTCAAATAAAGTGAACGAATCAGGGTTTAGTGCATATGAATGGTACTTACTTAAAATTATACCTTTGTTTTTCCAGATTTCGTTGTGAAAAACTCCAAAAAGCATTGAATAGAGCGGGAACTTTTTATACTGTATTTTGCTAACATAAAGTTACACTAACATTTATTTCATGATAGACTGAATCCCCGATCTACATTACAAGAAAATATGAATTCTATTGTTTTTTTAAGAATACTGTTCGGCCGATAGCATCTACGAGAATTCCTCCTCTCAACTAAGATGCATTTATTTACGAACGCACTAACTGTAAGTTTAAGCTAACCTTCCTCGTTAAGCTCGGCGATGTAATTGTACTTTATGATTTGAAAGCCGCAGGGATGCATTGTATGATGGCATAAAATGCAGCAACTTAAGTCAAAAAACATATAAGCACTAGACCATAAGACGCTTGTCTCAATTTGGACAGTGGCTTAAGTGCTTATCAAATAGAAAACCTGACTAATTATCAGTTGTATCATGATAAGCGACTTGATTATACATTTTGACACCAAAAATGAAGTTCTAACCATCACATATAGTTTCTGCTGATCATGACAACTTGAAACGATAAATTACTAAACAAAATTTCAATGTAAGATTGCCCTGGTAAAATATGGGGTAAAATTCAGTTATTGAATAAAGATTTGTGCGGCTTGGTTACTAAAATCAGAGTAGGTAGAGAATAATTTAAATCAGAAACTTTCAAACGCAATTCTGAGAATATAACTGACACTGTTTTATAACTTGATAACAGTTCCATTGTACGGTCAGCAATATTTATTTTCATTGTTTGAGTTATCTAACAGACAGACACATTAGGTTTAAGGCTCTCAAAAGACACCGGCCTAAGTTGCAATAGACTACAATAGCATTGAAAAACCTGAGATGCAAGCAAAGTGAAAATGGGAAAATGCATGGGAAATAAACGAAAAAGAAACAAGGTGCATAATACCTAGCGCGTCACAAATAAGACTCTAGTCAGTGCTACCTAAACTTATGGTAGATCACAATCATTCCAAAGATTTGAACCAAGAAATCTACACTTCCAAACCATCAGTCTAACAGTCAGTTTGTTTGTGGATAGTTATTTTAACTCAATCTAGTAATTGTCAGCTTCCCCTACATATCGGACCACTTCAGTGAGGACTGCCCTATAAGTAACCCTGAAACCTCATTAAATGAGATAGAATAGATGGCGCCTTGACAGATAATTTTGTGGTTCTGATGTAATAGCTCAATATAAATTCCAGTACTGGAAATCAGAGGACGTTCACTGTAATGAAATATAATCCGCGGCGAATACTCGTCGACCCAGAAAAACCCTTTGTATGTAGCGGACTGAAAAAAAGAGCTACTTAGGTTCACTCTATTCTCTACTTATTTCTATGGGACAATTCTGTGTATCCAATGGAGGGACAAGACGCATGTCTCAGGAAAATACACATATGTTCGCAAAACATACACAGAGACCCGTGACACTTTTAAAAATGTAGGACACTATATTCGTCTCTAACAAGACTATCAAGTACTTCGTAACTAATACCACGACACATTATGTGAACACGGAACATACAGATGCAAGATAGTACGAGATCAGAAGCTTTAAACATAACTAACAGTGTTCAGAAAGTCAGTCAAATGAATTTTCGAAGACGTATACTCATTTTGTGCTTACAGTATCAACACTCTGACTTCTTTTTCTTTCTGTTTAAGCTTTTTTAAAATAGTGAACAACCCCATGAACCCGAATTAAACAACAATGACCCTCAGGAGAAAATCACTAGTTCATAAAAACTATAAAATTCACTATGCATGAATAAATGGTTCAAATGGTTGTGGACTGAATAGAAGGGGCTTTCGCTTGACGAGGTGTGTGAACATCACGATCCGCCCGTTGTAGATTGTCCTGTAAATCTGACACATCCAACTGTTTGAAATTCCAGCACCTGTTGTTGGAGGGATATCCTAGCTCAGTTTCGCCGACAAAACTGAATGCTATAATGGCATGATCGCTCCTCCTCAGGGAAGCCAGCTAGGAATTCTTCATTTGTAAATACCCAGTCCAAGGGCAACGGCCCCTGACTGTTTATCCAACTAGTTGCCGACTTCACATTTTCGAATAATCCCAGATCCTCAATGAGGTTGAAGAACCGAGCCTCAGTCGAGTTTACACCTACAATATACGTATCTTCCGCGAAATTGACTTGAGGAAGATTGGAGTCCCCTAGAATCAGAATACCATTGTATCCGAGACGAGTAGAGCGGAATAATCTATCCAGCATGTGATTGTCAAACTCGATGTCAGCAGTGAGTGCTTTGTAGATGACCCCAACTAGACACCTCGAGGTGTTAGACAATCATGCTGAGCACCATACGGATTCATCAAGATTGAGAAACTTTTGATTGTGCGCTTGGTGTACCTCCAGGCATGATTGTATGTATAATGCTACTCCACCCCGCAATTCCTGTTTTTCTGTCACTGCGAAACAAAGACATCCCAGGTATTACTAGCTCCTGGTACGTAAACTGAGAAGATATCTAAGTTTCAGACAGTATTCTTACATCCCCATAAGATTTCAGTAAGTGACTAACTAGCAGGACATCCTCTACGTCGTTAGCACTCTTCAGTGTTACACGAAGTAGCCTCGGGTGATTTGGATGCTTAGAGTCCTTTCCACAAGTGAGCTATTTGACTGTCAAAGACTCCACTATGAAAGTTCAAGTTTCTTGTTTAACTCTTCGCAGAGCATCCTGTCATTTTTGTCCTACAAACTGAAAGGAATATTAGAGTTGTCCTTTAGGTTCATCATCATGAGAGAATCATCACGAACGGTTTTTTTTCAAGGTTTTCAGGTGCGTTCAGGTTGAGGAGCTAGTTGTTTGAAGGTCGAATCACGTTTCCAATTCCAAGTCTCTTTGATGACCGAACGGACATTCTTTGAGGTAGACAGTGAGGTCAAATTACCAGTTCATTTCCCTACAATACTTGGAATGTTCAGCTTAGACGGTGACACCTGGTCCTTTTTAACTTAGGTAATGTAGGTCCAATCACCTACAGATTTTTTGGGAACCACCGTTGCATTTAGGGACCCTGTGTTGGGAGACCTAAGCATTCTGAAGGAGTCTATTGCTGTTCATGTTATGATGGTGCTCAGTTTCAGCACGTTTCAGCACCTTATCAAATGCTTTACTGATGTCTATGTAGACAACATCCACTGATTTCCCATTGTCTAGAGCCACTATATATTTCCCCCTTGCAATGAGGAGGTTTGTTGCGCAAAATACACCCTTCATAAAACCATGTTGTCCGTTGTTTAACAAGTTGTTGATTTCCATGAATGCTATTATGGTCATTTTCACCATTTTTTCCAGCATTTTAACTACAACACTGGTGAGGCTGACAGATCTGTAGTTTGATGAAAGTTGTCTTGTTTCTGTTTTATATACTGGAGTGACAGCTGCACCCACCCAGTCCGTCGGTAACTCACCTTGAATATGTGACATATTGAATATGGTCGTCAATGGGGCCGCAATATATTGCATAATTTTTCTTAAGATTTTTGGATTCAGTTCATCCGGTCCTGTTGACTTCACCGTGTCTTAAGTGCTTAGGGTCTTAAGTACATCGTCTCAATCCAAATTCATGGTGAGCTGACGGCTTGTTGACTTTGTATTTGGGTCTAATTCATCATCTAGAAGAAACTCCTGAATAGAAAATGCCCCAAAATAGTTTGCCATATTTTCTGCTTTTCGGTCAAAGCCGATAACGGTGTCCGGACATTGCTTCTTTTGTCTTAATAAACGTCGAATATCACGGTCTATCTAGGGATGGCCGTGCTTCTTCTTCTTCTTTGGAACTCTCCTGGGTATAACAGGTTGAGTTGCTTGTTTGTAAAACCTCCATAAACGAGTCTATGCCTCTTCTACTAATGCCCGTTAGTCAATTATCTAGTTTTCAGACGATGCTGCAGAGTTGATTGCCTTCATGTATTTCTTTCACATGCTAGGCCATCTGAGCCATGGACTTGAATAAGATGACCGCATGATCACTCCCTTAAGGTGGGAGGAAAGTTTTTGGCTGGCGTCATCACCGTGTGTGAAGATTAGGCCCAAGAGAGACGAGGAGGTTTGTAGGTCATATCTCGTTTGACCTCAAATGTGCTGGAATGAAGCTAGGGCGATTGTGGTTTCCAATAATTGCAATCAAACGATGTTGTAGATGACCATACTTATAATTTTCCCCAGTTTATATACGGTGCAATAAAATCATTTGCTATAAGGCTCTTACCCTTATTAAACCAGAAATTAAGTTGGCTCATAAGGAAATCATCTATTACACATTCTGGATTGTGGTATACTACAACTAACTCAACATATTGCCCCTTAAAATTCAGCCTACAGCGCATCAGTACACATATTCCTAAGTCATGTGCCAGAGTTTCGACAGCCTGTATGGTTAAGGATTTTTCGCTCACAAGATTACTATATCGCAAATTAAAAAACCAATCAATTGAATTTCACTACCACAAACCTCTGACGGTAACCATGTTTCTGAGATCGCAATGCTGTAAGGGTTTCCTGAGTTCACCACTGTTTTGGGCCCCGCCACTTTATTTTGTAAGTTGCGAGCATTTGTGTAGCACACCCTTAATTCTGTAAAAACCTTCTTTTACCACCCAGAGTGGTATGGAGACTGTTTTGCCACGAACTTTTACAATATGAAAACGCCTAATTATAAAGATTCTTTGAACGTTCCGGTGGCTTTCATTCATTTCTACCTCTGCTGATAGCCCCTTAATGCAATCAATCAGGCTGAAATCCTCATCTGCATGTATTTCGGATCCACTCAGTTTGCGTGAGTTACCCAGTATCAGGTCTCTTCCTTCAACCGAAGCAAAGGTAAATTTTAAAAGGCGGCTTTTCTATGTAATTTTATAATCCGCTTTTAGTCTTATTCTATAACTCTTATAGATGCTAACTCCTACTACTGTTTCTGTAAGTAGCTTGCATTCTAAGGAGTTAATGTGGCTGAGTTCGTGATCAAATCTAGTCCCTGGTTCCCTTTCGGAAGATTCTGCTAACTTATTAAATATGACTGACCTCTCAGTGAGGCCCGTCTCAACACGCTGTGGAATTTTAATTCCTGAATTCTTCGCCTCGATACAATCCAATCCAATTTGACGTTGAACGCAGAGGTCTCACTCTGTTTTCTTAATTTTCTTTTTCCGGGTGTGACTATATGTCAATCGTCTACCTTACTATGTCTCTTGATCAAATCTTGTACACCTCTCAGACTCTTATGCATTTATTGCATCATGATCATACTTGGTTTACTTGAAGGTCAAAAGTTTTCATCAACTCCGTTTTGTGGTACTTCCTTTTTAGTGGAATGTAACCCTATTGATGTGTGGGCAGACGAATGTTTTCTTCCCTGTGGAAGAAGGAATAAAATGTGATGAATGCAAAAGTGGTTCAACAGGATGTGTACCCGTTTTAATCACACCACACACAAAAGATGCTCGAAGCCTAACTCTCATTGGGTTTGTATGTTTCGCTGTTCGAGTAAGACATTGCTGATTTAGGAGGCGATGGGAATTTTGGCGTAAGTCAGCAAGAATGTTAGTAGAAGATGCGCTGGTAACATAGATACCGACAGAGAAAATGTGTCTTCCTAGCTTGACTGGAAAAGGTCGTCGAATATCATTGTAAGTGATTTGCTAGATTCAAATGACCACAATCAAAAAATTAGAAATGCGTCTTACTAAATACCTTTGTCGGAATTCAGATCAAAAAATTGATAAGAATGGTTAACAGGACGGACGAAAATGTTGAACCCTGGCCATATAGACTGCTTAAGGCGACCTCGACGTTGAGGGAACAAAAAAATCTTTTGTAAACTAGCGCTTGCAGTCATGATAACACCAAAATTCAAGTAGGATATGACATATTTCTAGGAGAAAGGATAAAAAGGAAGATAGCACCAGATGAATTAGAAACCCGTCAACAAAATAATAGACAAAATCTGCTCTTGGTAGGTTCTTGAGTTGTTAGGTCTTGGAAACGAATGTGTGTATGGATAGGTCGTTCTCCTGAAGAATTTTATATACAAATGCTCGTAGTCTAGAAAATAAATTCTATGAATCAAGAGTGCTGGTGAAATAATTGAAGCCACTCACAGTAGATATGACCGAAACTTAGCTATTCAGTGAATCAGACTTTACTCTAGAATTATTGGAAGTGATAAGAATAAATGAACGAGAGGAAGTTGGTTGCCTATATACATAGCCAATAATATAAACATCCGTTCCTTTGTTCGTGAATTGCATGGTAGTGGAACACTTCAAGTCACTAACTGTGAACTCACTTTTGAAGTTTGTTAATTTATGCTAGTTGTCACCTATCGTAGCCCAGTCTTCTTAAGTTATCCTCCATGGACGATTTGGCAGTTTAGTCCATCATAGGAGTTTCTTGTGATATTGACTATCTTCTCAGGCACGCCGTAGTGTCGAAGAAGCTTCCATAGCGTTATCCTGTCCACTCTATCAAATGCTTTCTCATAGTCAATGAAGTTGATGTAGAGTGATGAATTCCATTCAATTGATTGTTCCACAATGATACGTAGAGTTGCGATTTGGTCTGTACACGATCGATCCTTACGGAATCCAGCTTGTTGATTTCGAGGTTGGGCGTCCACGGAATCCTTCATCCTGTTTAACAATACTCTGTTGAAGACTTTTCCT